GGCTCTCGTGTAACGCAGATTTCTAACGCAATTTTTGCCATGTTTTTACAACCGTGACAACTGCAGCTGGGAAACAAATAAATACCGGACCACAGAAAATTTCTATAGCTTTGCCCCGACAAAATTCTCGCGTGGTTTAACTTGCATATCAATAACTTTCTCGTTTTCGAATCGTTTCTATACAATTTAGTGCCTCCCACCGAAAATACTGAAGAAATTGATCTTGAAGGCTTCGTTATAAGTTGTTGTATCTTTGGGTAGTGTCTTGTAACGACTTCTCTTGAAATCGTGTTGCGTATGGACCGTTTAATAAACATCCTCTGGTAATTACAACGAAATGGACTTCCCTCGAGCACCCCGAATTGAACGTTCTTTAGGTCTCGTGCCCCAAAGGATTCAAAAGCATCACGTACGTCATATGAAGCTCCCTTACACAAAACACTAGAATGACATTGCTATTATTATCCGGGAAGAGACCTCGTCGAATTGCAACGTTTCAGTCGGTGGTCCTGTACAGAGAATGAGCAGCAGAGAGAGAGAGAGAGAGAGAGAGAGAGAGAGAGAGAGAGAGAGAGAGAGAGAGAGAGAGAGAGAGAGAGAGAGAGAGAGAGAGGGAGGTCAGCATAATAAACAACAGATCCCGATCCCCTGGTCCAGAGATAGGAACTAGGGTCGTATTTGCCGGCAGGAGGGATTAATTCGGGCTGGCCTCTGTGAAGAAGCCTTTTAGGGACTCCGCGATTAGAACAAAAGAGTTCCGGCTGAAAATAGACAACTTGGAAATGGATAACAACGGTATTAATCGTGGTAGTTCGTTTGGGGATGCTTTTCAGTCTTCTTTGATATTCCAAGGGAATTTCCTCCATTTGTTTACAGATAGATATTTGCTTGTCCAATTTCCTCCTAGTTTTACCTCGATTATTGCAGAAAATCGAGACTGACAATTCCTTAAAGTTATTTTCAGAATCGTTGTTAGCGTTGCTAGTCGCGAGGGGAATTTCTTTGGATTTAAACTAATAAATAAGCATTTAAGATCAAAAATAATTTTTTAAAATTTGTAGTTAATTTCTTTCTGCTTTGAAAGTAAACATTGTAATTATTTAATTTTGCTCAAAATTTTGATTGTTTTAGAAAACACACTCGGCGCCAAGGGCCGTTAACCCGTTAACTTGACGTACGATTTAATTCCAAATAATTTTTCAAACGTATACTATTCAATTTTATGTAAATTTGTTCGTACAAGGAATGGCCACAAAAAAGAATAGATTTATTTTATATACCTTGTGAATGTAAAAATGTGTGGATTTTAATATACAAGACTTGAACGATGAGTGAGGAGCTTCATGATTGTGAAACTTGATATTAGGAATTTGTAACGGGTCAGACCCGTTATTGTACGGCAACGAGGTAAAACAGTTCTATCGATCAAAGCTATGATTCATGGGCACGATAAATCGTTTCTCCTGAAAGATCCTGACGGAATCAAGAAGGAGGGTCGATTACTCATCGGGGAACAGAGACGAAATGTGGAATACGTGCGGAACGGGGTAGTTTTTACGAGGTTTTTTACTCCCGGTTGTCCGCAAGAAGGAACAGAGAATTTATTATCCGGTCCTGGGAGTCGAGATCCATCCGTTGAGAGTAGATCGCAATTGCAATTGCGGATGCAACGTTAGGTATGCAGCTTGCGTCTCGACCGGTCTTCCCACTAATAACATCACGCATTCCGGATGTCTTTGCATGCTGCTCGGCATACGAGGCTAGGATCTCAAACTGGTCACCTTCGATTTTAATATACTTGCGCGCAACGATAGCTTTTTGGTAATATATCCAACCTATTAAGAGCCATTATTCGGTAATTTTGAAGGAACGATAAAAGTATTTTCTGAAATCGATTAAACGGGAACAGTTTTGGTAACATAGGAAATATTTTTTATTTAAGATTATAAAGGACTCCATTTTCCGATTTCAGGTCAGATTTTCCAGATTTCGGCGCGCTGTGCGAACACATCCTCGTAGAAACTTCGGTTACGCTTCGATCATTCGCACAGTTTCGGCACACAAGTCAGTTTCATTCGTTTCGAGCGCATAATTACATTTCAATGCGCTGCATCGAGTTCCAGGAGAGATATATGCATACTCGCGAACGTACACGAATACGTTATGCAGCTACTGACTGATTTATACCCAGTTATTCGGCATGACGCTTAACGTATGTATCTACACTGTATATATGTATACAAAGATACACCTTCATGTAGATACTTGAATAAACATTTATATATGTTTATTCAGGTATCTGTATATTGGCGCGTATGTTCTAAACGTCGAGTCGAATAACCGAGTATAGATCAGTCCGTACCGTATTTGTGTATGTGCAACTAGAATATCTCCACCAGTACATAACCGTGTAAGTACCCATAACGTTACTGTTGTAATACATTTAAACAAATCCTGCAGCAAACATTTTCTCAGAGACATACTCTAAGAAAATTGAATAAGAAAAAATTGATTTTTCCAAACTTCTAGACCAGAATATCAAAAGCAAATTTCCTTACATGAATTTAAAAAATAATTTAGCAGGTTTATGTATGGACGAGTGGGATTCTCCCGTTTCTTTTTGGTTAGAATAACTATTAAAAGGTTAGTTATTCAAAGTCCAATAACCCTCTGGTAGTTGTGAGGAGGTAGATCAAGTTCACGGTCCTCGGACCAGGAGGTTATAGGCATTATGGCCCAATTATTTCCACAGCGTTGCCGAGCTAAACTATGTTCAATGTCTTCCATGTATTGACTTCTCGAGGTTAAAGAAATGCGTGGATGTTGACATTGAGTCTTAGCCGCGAGTTGTTAAATATTCAGCCTTGGAGAAGTTCTAACAACTCGCGCGAATAGTTTAGAAACTTTAGTCTTTCAATTGCTTCCCAATTTGCATACGAACAAAACGACGTTAGCGTTAGACAAAATTTAACTACATATGTTGCGTAAAATTTAATTTTCTTTATTTGTGTGTTTTAAACATTTTTTAAGAATCTTTAGGAGCAACGAAGCAATGTTCGTGTAATATCATGTAATATACGATCGTTGGTTGGCTTTGTTATCTTAGTTTTATGACTTTTGGCAAAATGACAATGAAAAAGGAAGGGTTTGCTAATCGGTCGTACGATAAACGTGTTTAATATTTTTCTGCCGGTGACACCATTGAGAACGAGGCATTTAAAACAGGCCATTGAGGCTACCTACTCGCCTGCTTTTATTGACGTCTTGGATTTTGAAGATTTAAGACCGCCGGAGGTGGAGTTTGTAGACACATCGCCGGAAGATTTTTCCAATATTGAATTTGTAGGAGGAGAGGTCTGGGTTCTAGAAGAATAAGGTGATATCGACTTCGATTATAAAAGCTACGTCGTTACGGAACTTTCACAATATTAGTTTAAAACGAACCAAAAAATTCTCCTGCTTTTAATCATCCAAATTACAGTTTTAAAACCTTTGAAGGATTTTTTGTGGTTTGAAAACCAACCCCCAAAATAAAAGTAGACAAATATTTGTTTCAATATTCAGGTAAGATCATAAAAAAAAATATAAATTGGACTAGTACGTCTTTTTCAAATGAACCCAGCCGTGCAGTTTTCCAAATATATCAATTTGTTCGAAAACCATTCTGCTTGTTTTGCTGCACGGTATCCTCCGTGTTTCTCTTTAATTATAAATTATTTTAACCAGACTTATTTACTTTGTTCCATCCCGTATTTTGCGCGTTATCTCTTCGTTTTGATAACAGGATTTCAAATTTGTATAATAAATGTTGTGCGCGCGGCTCGAATGGAAAGTTGCTAAAAAATAGCGCGGCGCTCAACGCGTTAATCAAGTGCGCACCCCCTCGTTGAATTAATTAAACTTCCGCACGAATCGCTCAGGAGGATACTTCTGTCTTACAATGGAAGGTTTTTACCCCATTATGGCTCTCGTGATCCAATTAATCGCGCCGTCGTGTTTGCAAACTCTTGCAGGAATCCTGTAAATTTATTTTCCGGATCCTTGTCGTCGCCATTTCACAGGGTTTCCTTCAAAGACTTCTTTTAGTTTCTAGGACATCGACTGGCCTATAACTCTCCTATAACTGCTATTTTTCGTTTCTGTTTCAATTACGGTTTCTCATCGATCATATATTTTGTATTCTGTATCTTAATTTTGATCACAGCACACTCGAAACAGATAAAATAATGGTTATAGGACCGATATAATATAATTGTAACTGAAATAAGCCAATTTTTCTGTTCCCATAATTCTATCCTCAGAAGTGAAATTGTTATTGTAACTGTAGTCAACCCCTGGCTGAAAAATAGAAGGGGATCGTTTTAGAGTTAAGTACAGGATCGAACGTAAAATTGATAAGTTGCATGTTTAGTGTTAGCCCTCTATGAGCCCGTGTAACTTTCAGGTCACATGCTAATATATCGACATTTTACCAAATAATTTTACTTTTTCACAAGATGTCGTGTAAAATTACTTTAAAAACATCATCGGGAATTACCGCTCGACTAACTGTTCCGACATCTCCGACTTCCGCGCTCGACATTTTTATCTCCCAAATTCTTATTTTTCACCACAACGGCACGAAACTTTGGCGTTCAATTTCCGAATAGTATTACTTTTGAATAAAAAATCGATTTTCTGACTGCCTGGTCCCCTTAAGTAAATTTTTTCGGTGGTTATAAATATTCTTTTAAGTTCGTAAGTTATTTAACTTAATTTGTAAGTTCGCGCGTTGCGCTCGAGTCCGTCGAAATTGCTCGAAAACTGGCAACAAAGAGAATCGAATGGCCATCGGTAGATACGGGCGCTAGGCGTGCGCCGCGAACACACTCTCCGTTCTCTCCACCACCACCACCAAGCACATCCACCACCACCACCGGCGGCACCTAGCATCGCGAGCCATCGGCGCACCTCTACTTGGAGCCACCTCTCCACGTCCTCGATCAGTCGACCCCGTGCAACGCGGCTCGTCGGCCGCCGCGCGAAAATTCTACCCTGCGTCCAATTGTGTGCGATCTCTTACCTCGGTCTCGTCGTCCCGCGAGACGATCGTCGACGGCGCTAGCCGACGGAACAGGCCAGCCCGGAGAGCCGATCTCAAACGAGCCACAACGACGGTTCGGAGCGGGCGTCCTCTCCTTTGAACGCAAAAAAGTACGAAAAAACAAGAAAAACAAAAACAAACACGAATAAGAAGAGGGGGAAAAGACGGCGAGGAACGGTGATATTGGAGCGCGCGTGCGTGTGCGAGTTGGTGCGTGTGCCTCGAAAGGTCACGGTGAATTCGAAGACGCAGAGCCTCCGTAGACGGCGTGGTTAGAGAGCGGAGGCCAACGTAGGAGGATTCCGCGCAAAAGCCGGCTCGGCGACCCCCACTCGCTAACTTGTTGAGTCTCTGACGGGCAGGTGTGTGCTCTGCGAGGCCCCGGAACTCGAGCCCAGAGACTCACGATGACGGACAGCAGGCTCCCGGCTCTCCTACTGTTGGTCCTGCTGGGCACAGGCATCGCCAGGGCCGACGTCGTCGCGCAAACCACCAACGTGCACAATGATCCGCTGGTGGTCGAGACCACCAGTGGCCTGGTGCGCGGATTCTCGCGTACGGTGGTGGACAGGGAGGTCCACATCTTTTACGGGATCCCGTTTGCCAAGCCGCCGATCGGTCCGCTGCGGTTCAGGAAGCCGTTGCCCATCGAGCCCTGGCACGGCGTGCTGAACGCCACCGTTCTGCCCAACAGTTGCTACCAGGAACGGTATGAGTACTTCCCCGGATTTCCCGGCGAGGAGATGTGGAACCCGAACACCAACATCTCCGAGGACTGTCTGTACCTGAACATCTGGGTGCCGCACAAGCTGCGTCTGCGGCACAAGGGCTCGGAACCGCCGAGCAACGGTGACAGAAACGGGCTGCCGTTGCTGGTCTGGATCTACGGCGGCGGATTCATGAGCGGCACCGCCACCCTGGACGTCTACGACTCCGACATCATGGCAGCGTTCAGCAATGTGATCATCGCGTCCATGCAGTACAGAGTGGGCGCGTTCGGGTTCCTCTATTTGAACAAACACTTCACCAACAGCGAGGAGGTGCCAGGGAATATGGGTTTGTGGGACCAGGCATTGGCCCTCAGGTGGCTGCGCGACAACGCCGCCGCTTTTGGCGGGGATCCCGATCTGATCACCATTTTCGGGGAGTCCGCCGGTGGAAGTTCCGTGTCCCTTCATCTGATCTCCCCGGTTACTCGCGGTTTGGTGCGTCGTGGGATCCTGCAGAGCGGAACCTTGAACGCGCCCTGGAGCTACATGACCGGGGAGAAGGCGAACAAGGTGGCCAAGTCGTTGGTGGACGATTGTGGATGCAACTCGACGATGTTGCAGGAGAATCCCGCCAGAGTGATGGCCTGCATGAGGTCCGTGGACGCAAAGACCATCTCCGTTCAGCAGTGGAACAGCTACACCGGCATCCTGGGCTTCCCGTCCGCACCCACCATCGATGGGATCTTCCTGCCCAAGGAACCGTTGGATTTGCTCAGGGAGGCCGATTTCAAGGACACGGAAATACTCATAGGGAACAACGAGAACGAGGGTGAGCGATTATTTTTACGCCTCGTTTACGCTTGTCCTCGTGGACGACGAGATTCCCGCCATCCGTGAGTTTTCAGTCTGTGTTACGCGGGTTCCGCAAACTTCGGTACGCGGAGTTCGTTTAACGACGGAGTTTCCGGAAAGTATCGGCGATGTAATTCCCCGGTGGAGAACGTTCTAACGACGAGAAAGCGTCTACCCGAGCGATTAAACTTTTCGTTTTCGGGCACGACGGTCGGGAGAGCTTAACGTTTTGAGGGAAAGGTTTCTCTTCGCACCTTTGCATTTCGATGGAAATAACGTGATGAAAAAGAAAATATTTTTACGAAGTTTTCAGATTTCAGAAGCGTCTTATTCGGTGCTCGGATACTTTACATTCCGTTCCATCACACCACTTATCGGGTTAACAATTTGTCTTTTTTCTCGCTCTATTATACGTTGTTACAAATCAACAACATCATATCTCAAGCTAGACATCAAAAGTATCGAAAATTATAATTCTTACTCTATTTATGACTACACTTAATTGAATGTCAATTTTTTTACTTTCTCTGACTCATTTTTCGGGATTTTTTCCATCGTCTTTCTTAACTTATTTTTACGAAGCTGGAAAGTCGAGGGAAAATGATCAATTTTACTTTACGTTTAGAATAGAATATAACTTGTATACGGTGAACGAAATGTTTATAAACTACTGTCCCTGTGCTCCAAATTAAGTTGCAGTTGTTAAAATATGCTAATGCACTAGTAGAGATTTTATAGACGAAAATATCGAGACCGATACGAACCATCGGTTGTCCGTCATGCATCAATTGGTGTGGTACCCACTTGTCCAATTGTCTTATCTCCCCTATTGTGGCTAGGTGTCGAGTGACTGACACTGTGGCAACTGTCAAGTCTGTTGCAAGGCCTCGAATTATTGTTTGTGGGTTAGCTTTGTTCGTGACACTCGATCGATCTTCGTTTGACACGGATTTGGATCTCCCTCGGTGCTCGTTTTTCAAATTTAGACCCCCGGTGGAGATGGTCGCATACAAACACACATAAACACAATTAATGTCACCGATAATAACTTACAAACACGATCGAATGTAATTGATGCCACTCACATTGTCATAGATACACACAAACGGTATTATTCACACTTTCAATCATTATCAAACACGGACAAACATAATTGCTTTTACAGTCGCTTATAACCACATTCGCACGTACTAATTCGATTATTGTCGCCTACAATCTATACGCGCTTGTTAATTAAAATCGGACGCGAACGTAAAAACGTCGTTATCGTGGGTCAAATAAACATTTCCATTTATTTCGAAAAAATATATTTTAAAACAATCGATGGAGAAGCACAATATTGCTACGAATACAACACAATAATTTCCAAACATTTTGGTGGACGCCAGCAATAATGAAAATTCTGCGCCCGGTATCATTTTTGTCTTTTTATTAGTTTTTTATTAATTCACAATTCAATCGCTTTTATCGATTTCAGTCGATTGAAATTTTTGCTTGTTCGATGCAAACATTCGTTTAAACGAAGCTTCTGGTCGAATTAATGCTAATGAATAAATTATATTTATGGATAGGATATAAAAAAAATCGCGAGAATCCGAGTTAACGCGTTCGTATAATTTTTAAAAATAAAAATTACGAGAACGGGTGTATTTATTAAATTAAATAAGCGGTATGCTTGTTAGTTTTTTTATTTTAATTCTGGATAAATTAATATATTTACTAAAGTATTAAGATTTCGATGACCTTACCGTAGCTTTTATCCGCGGAACGACCAATGAATCGATGCGTGTTAAAAAATCAAACAGTTTTATTAACAAAAAGTGCAATTGCACTTCGCAAGTGCATCGATGCACTTGGGGAAAAGTCTTATCATAAGATAATAGGGGTCGTTAAACCGTACGAAACTTTTCTCTACAATTTTTTTTTTTTCTGTATCCTCACTTAGAACAGAACTATAGCCTGGCCCAGTTACTACAATCACCCTGTATTCGCCACCACCTGGCCGTGTATAACACCGTTAGCACACCGTTGAAAGTTTAACGCAAGAACTATACAGACAAAGCGCAGTTAAGCAAATTTTATTCACGAATATATTAACGAATACAAATTTTATCCGTAAACTAACTTCTATTTACGTTTCGTTCATGAGTTCGTTTATCAATTAAAATCAAATCAGCGTCCGTTGTTACGGGTATCTTGTACTACGATAAATAAATTGTACGTAACTATATACAGAACAAAGTGATAGGACTGATATACGTGTAGCAAAATCATTTCATGACCGATACAATATATAAATCATAAAAATCTATAGACATCATAGATATAAATTTGAATCTGTGCAACATCGTTTTAATTCTTTAAGGGGTTACGAGACAGTTTGAAGCAGTTTTCGTTATCATTTTCGATGCGCGTACTTGGGATTATCTACCGCCTTGAATTTGCTTTGGCAATGGCGGTCGACAGGAAGCACTGTCTCAGACGTTAGCCACAATCGCGTTATCGACTTTGGCGTAGCCGTGGGAGAAATAAAAAATCCCGAATGCCGGCAGTTTATCGGTCCAATTTCAAGTCGCGTAAACGTCGCTCATCCGCATCCGTTACGTAACAATCCCGGTTCAATCCTATGAACGTCTGTCGGCGCTGGCTCGAAACAATGGTTCCGGTGTATTGTTTGTTAGACAACGCTTGAAACCTATTCATTATTGGCTCGTGGACCGCCTTTCTCGTTAATGAAAAGCTCTGTCGCGCAACGCAGCTGCGTTTTACCGCGAACGGAAATTATTTTGCCCGGTTTTCTCGAAAGCCTACCCACTCTAGCTGATTAACCTTTCCTGATCTAAATGCCTCGGGGACCTGGTTCGATCCGCTCGCCTCGCAATCGACAGTTTCATCGCCAACCAAAGGCCACCCGGGATGTTTACAGAACCAAGATGCCCCTGGAATCCATCGGAAAGGAGCACTGTCGAAAAATCGCTAAATTTCTGCGTCGATACGTCGCTCAGAACTCGAGTAAACGTGGTTTTGTCAAATACTCCAATATAATCAAAATACAGAAAATATAGTTTTCTCGTCTTAAATATTTTCGAGAAATTTCTTTCGAAGAAAAGAATTTGGTTGGTGGAGAAAATTGTCAAATTTCTCGTCGATACGACGCCTTGAAGTTTAACGAACGATCGTTTTATAGCGGCTGTCACAACCGTTTTAATTAAATTTCAGCGTCTGTATCCACTGTCGCGTTATACAACGGGAAAGAATCATCGGAAACTCGTAGCCGATTCAGCGTCGGGCTGTTTACGTAAGTCAGTCGGTCGCAACAAAAGATACCGACGACGACGGGCGTCGTCGATCAGCTGGAAAAACGAGATCTCGAGCGTCGTTCTTTAACCTAAAGGCAAGCATCCGTTAATAGCCGTTTCTCGGTCGAACGAGTCCAGGTAATTAAGTCGTTTCCATGGCGCCTCCAGCCTAAATCGAACACGACCTTTTTCTCCCCGGGGGAGGGAGAAAGTATTTTCTCTCTTTTTCCAGCGCAATGGAAAATAAAATTGATCAAACCGATGACGTAAGTTAAATACACTTCGTTTCTTAAAGTGTGATTGACGCCGTTTGAATATTTCATGGATATTCGTGCGCCAAGAATAAAACTTCGTACGGTTCGGTATTCAGAATTCGATGTTATATCGGGATAAATCGAGGTTGAAAATGAAAATTTGATTTTAAAATATTGGAAGAACCGTCGGAGGTAGATAAAGAAGTTTTTGCTCTTCGACGTATCATACTTACGACATTATCAATAAAAACAGAAAATGGACGACCTTCACTCATGGTTGATCGTATTGTCTGGAAAAAGAAGTAAACAGTACTGATTCAGGGAGCTATTCTCGTCTATCGAGTCAATTTTTAGATCACATTTGAATATACGATTTATATAATATAGATCTATACTAATCGTTCCAGAATAATATTTAATTACGTCCAATTAATCCCATCTTCCTCAAATAACGAATATCTGCTATGTCCGACTTATCGTCGACCAATACTACTTGCATAGAATAAAATACATTAAAATGTGAATAATTAATATTCCAGGTATAAAATAAATTCCGAGATCATACTTTCCTTTGCTAATACATTATTTTACATACTATTCAATCGCATATTCCAACAGTTAATGCCTCAATTTTGTTTTTAATACAGTTACTAGCAAGGGTTACAAAACTTAAATTTCTTACAATATAATTAAAATTCTTTTTTTACATACTGTTAGAAATTCAATTTAAATTTAGAATTCCTGGGATAGGAATCGAGAATCCATTATTTAGCAATAATTCAAATTAATTAACCATAGCTGTGTTTTTATTTGAAATCGTAACTCGTATTGCGAATACTTGATATTATAAGACAAGAGGGTTAACAAATATTTCTGTTCGGGCGTAAAGCGAAAGCATATTTCTCTATTAGATCGTTTCACGAAAGGATCAGTGGTGAGAATCGAAAATCTAGGATACTTCATCTCTCGCGGAACGAGTGATAAATTTCTATCAAGTCTCCGAAGTGTTTCGCTCGAAGTTGATTAATCAAGTTCGCGGAGTACGGTTGCACGGTGGAAATTTTTCTCCGCGTGGAAAGCTCTGAAGGATGCTCGCGATGTATCTTCAGTTTTCCGGGATCCCAGAGATCGCGGTAGAGCTGAAAAATTCGCGGCGTCGCAGAATAGATCGGACGCGCAACCAACTCACGTACCAATTGATTAGAAGCGTCGACGAGCTGCTAGCAAAGACAAGGGATTTACCTTGATATTCCGAGCCTGATAAATGCGCTGGAACACGAGTGAGCCGTGAATCGCTCGATAACTGCACTGATCGCCAGAATCCCAACTTCCTCGATCTTACGGAACCCGAAAGAACGGAGAAATCTATCGGTGGACACTGGAAGCGCCTAGATTCGACCGTCCCTATCAATCGTTTCGATTGA